GGGGAGCAGTGGGAAATGCAGTAGGATGGGATGGAATAGAAGAAATACCTGATTATCGTAAACTGTATATCCGCGGTTTGGAGTGAAGGGCAGAATCTTGGCATTTGGCTCACTGTAGCATGCAGCCCTAGTTTTCTTGGTGACTAAGTTTCCATCACCCAACTTGTTCCTAGATGCTCATAAGAGTCACTGCTACTTCTTGTTGCCTAACCTGCTCTTTCCCTGGCATATTAAAAACATTTATAACCCTGATATACTGGATTAAAAGACTGCAATTTTCTGCTGTAGGTAGTGGTTTAAACCATTAGGGAAAACAGTTATACCAATAAATCAAGCAGTTTCTAAAATGGGGAAAGAATTGGTTTTTGTCCCCAACTGCATCTATGACCTGAGGTGGCAGCCTGGTAAATGCCACTGTTCTTGATCCTTTATTTTGAGAATTAAAACATAACACACTTTTCATTTGTCAAGAGTTCATCAGTGAAACGTATCTGTAATAAACTCCTGACTAGGTTTGGAATGGAAATGTCAATACAGACATCGTTTTCTATATTTATGAATATTAGTTATAACTAGAGTATACATTCATATCATACATTAACACTTGAGTTATTGGCAACTACTTATTTTTCTACCACAGTTTTTTGGGAACACAGCTCAGAGCAAGAAAATAAGCCTAGCAGGCCTCCCTTTGACCATTCAAAAGCAGAAAGTGCAAAGTACTAGTAGCAGAGAGAAGCAACAGCTGGAGGCCAACAGTGACAAATGAGAGTAAAAAGCAGAGTCAAGAATTTAGCCAAAATAGAAGTACAGAAACAGTTAGTGTACAGACAACAGCCTTTCACGCCTTAGTGGCCCCTGGCCGTTTTCCTGTGTTATAGAATATGGTACAAGAATGAATGTTCATGTTAATCAGATACTAGAGTAGACCCTTAGAGGTTTGTTGAATGGGTCATTAATAAAAGGCTATATTATACTTGGTTAACTCTATTTATAGAATAAAGGGAAAGGAGTGACAGATCTCCCTTTATTCTAGGAAGATTTTCTTCAGAAATTTCTTCTTCTTCCCCTCCCCCTCCTCCCTTCCTCCCTTTCCCCCATCCTCTTCCTCCGCCTCCTTCACATTTTGGGAACTTAAAGGGGTAGCTTTACTTACCAGGAAAATTAACTTTGGAGAATGACCTTATTTTCTGTTAATTCTAAATTAATTAGAAATTACTGTTATTGTATTCTGCATTTACATTTTTATTTTATTTTATTTTATTTATTTATTTTTTTGCGGTACGCGGGCCTCTCACCGTTGTGGCCTCTTCTGTTGCGGAGCACAGGCTCCGGACGCGCAGGCTCAGCGGCCATGGCTCATGGGCCCAGCCGCTCCGCCGCATGTGGGATCTTCCCGGACCGGGGCACGAACCCGTGTCCCCTGTGTCAGCAGGCGGACTCTCAACCACTGCGCCAACAGGGAAGTCCCCTACATTTTAATTTATTAACACTAAGATACTATTACAGAGGTGCTCTCATAAATTATTTTTTGTTTTCTTTGAATTTCAGAAGTCTCTACTATTTGGGGGAATGTGTCAGAATTCGTGGAACGGCAGCTATCCCTACACAAGGTAGGATTTATACTTTAATTTTAATGTAGGAGGTCAAAGAATCTTTCCTCCTTTGTCTCATGTAGTTTTGCTGGGAGCAGGATAGCAGACTTTAGAGCCACTCAGTTTAACATGCAGTTTTGGGATTTTATGATGCTCACACTTAGGACTTGTGGGTAGTAGATTTAACAAACATGGATTTCACCCTTAGGTAATGAATTTGAAAGTTCTGCTCCCCTGGTGATAGGAAGTGTATCGCTGGCCAGCCCAGGTGCATGTAGATGAAGTAGGTGAATTCTGTTCATCTGTGATCTGATAGTTCCTGGCGTGGCTATAGAAGGATATGATGCTTTTTGTTTTGCCTCTTTGCAGGGGATGGATTTAAATTGAAATATAAGAAGGCAGTCAGGAACTGAACTCAACTTGCCAAAAGTGAGAAACTTTGCCCAGGGCTGGGCTATTTCCTCCCATCAAGTCTTAAGTTTGGATGCCAAAGAACTGATCGGAGATTTGGGGAGTTTGGAGGGAGCTGGGGTGTTGTGAAAGTTTTATACCCTGCTCAGAGGTCCCAATATGACAGCTCTTGAGCTGAATTCATCCTTGAAACCTATTTTATTTGGTCTGATAATTTGAATTAGTCATGAGCACTTAAAATTGGAAGAGTTTATACAAAGTTTTATATTTATTTTCTCAAAAAATCAGCAGATTAACAATACCAATTTTCCTTCCCTACATGTGACACTTGGCTGGAGCTGACAAGGGGCTTTCCCCTTTATATGGGACATGCACTCCTTAGCCATCACATTCTCTCGCTTGATACCTTCACTCCGTTGCATTCTTTCTTTCCTCCTGTAAGCATTTGAGTTTGTAACCCTTGATGTATGATATTTCCAGGGAGACAGAGACCCAGTGTGAGAGCCAGGAGTGTTTGCTTCTACCCTCAGCCAAGATCACCACACTGCAGCATGTGTCTTGGATGTTTTGTGTTGTCTGATTTTAAGTGAGGGACATAAAACCTGAAAGAATGAGAAAGCAGAGATTCTCATGACCCCTTAAATCCCCCTCTGATGGCAAGGGATTAAAATTTAAAATGTCACACAATTTAGGACAAGAGTAATCTTAGATATAGATTAAAAGCAGCTATGGCATCCATACAAGTTTTCTTAGTCCTCATAGCCTTTGAATGATATGGAGATGAAGGATCAGAAAAGCATCATGGATTGATATATTTTATACTTATTTGAAAACTTAGAGTCATAAAATACTAAAGCTGTAAGGAATCATAAAGATCATTGAATTTTAAGGCCCACACCTTAAAATTTTCTTCATGTTTTTTGGGATAACAGTGCTAAGGGTTATTTTTCTTTACATTTACAGTGAATTCTCTTTGTTGTTTTTTTCCCCCTTCTTTGTCTGCTCAGGGAGTTCAGATTCCAGGACTTGGAACTTTCACTTTCACGCGGCAAAAACTGGAGGTGGGAAACAACAAGTTTATTCTAATTCAGAGGCCCATATTTATCATGGCGGAGAAGTTTGTACAGACCCATGGACTCAAACAAAACAAAGTATATACACCTGGTAAATATATTTCATTTTTAAGACCTTCCCAGAAGGTGACCAGCCTGGGGATAAAAATGAAAGGGCAAAGCTTGCCCAGTTGCTGCTTTATTGGTTTCTGATTTGAGGAGCTCTCTTTTCACGTGGTACATTTGGCAGAGCGAGTGGCCAAGGTAGGAAATTATATACAGTCTTCCTGCGGGCCATTTTAAACCTCAGTAGCTTAAAACCTGATGTGACATCAAGGCAGATTTATATAAAAGCGACATCACCAAGTCATACAGATTTTTATTCATATTTCAGATCCTAAGAAATTAAAAGTGGTTATAAAGAAGAGAAAGTTAGTTAGGGTCACAGGTTAGAAGAATCGCAGTTAATATCAGCTAGGAAAAGACTACTGTGTTTCTATTGTATATAATCTAAATTATTGAAATTTAAAAGTTATTAGAAGCTTAATAATTCCGTAAAGACTTAATACCGTATATACCTCTCACACCCTAAAATCTTCCTTATTTCTTCCCTTCCTTGTTCCCTCCCTCCCTCCTTCCCTTCCCTCCTTCCTTCCTTCCTTCCACAAATATTTACTGAGGGCCAACTATGTGTCAGGCCTTGTTCCAGGTGCTAGAGACATAGTGGGAGACATGATGCCTGCCACAGGACGCTTGAATTCCAGCTTTAATGTGTGGCTTTGTGACACCTGCCCTGGTTACCTAGAGGCCTTTGGGGGCTTCCTTCCTAATTTCTGGTTGTGTTCCTTTTGATCTTCCTTATCATGCCCTCGTGCATCAGACTCATATATGGATAAAGAGAGATCGTCTACCCGCAATGCCAACAGGTGAAAAGGCTGAAACTTGCCTTTATGTTAACAACCCTGAAGGTTAACTTTCAGAGTAACTTTCCACCAAAAAATGATATATTGGAAAAACAAACAAACACCAATAAACTATACTTAGAATTCATTATGCATATATTCTGTATGGTGAGTTTGACGGATTTTCCAGCCTATTTTTTAACCTAGAGTTTTATGACAGACGAAATGTAATATCCTAATTCATCAAAAACCTACCAAATGAAGTGAAAATAAAGCCATTTTTTTTTGCAAAAACATTTGTGCCTTAGAACAGGGCTTATTTTGCATCTTGGATTTTGTAGTGTGGTCCAAAAAAGTACCTTAGATTTATAATTAATTTTTTCAGGAGGTGGAGGAAATTTCAGAATTAAAATGTATGATTGAACTCATTCATAAGAACAAAGACAGTTTAGATTTTTTTTTTTGGCCATGCTGCACGGCTTGTGGGATCTTAGTTCCCCGACCAGGGATAGAACCCGGGCCCTTGGCAGTGAAAGCACGTAGTCCTAACCATTGGACCGCCAGGGAATTCCTGACAGTTTAGCTTTGGGGTGACGATTCTTCATCATTAATTAGGTAACTAATCAAACATTGTACAGTGATTCTTAAAGATTATTAAGACATGGTCCTTGCTTTGAAGAGCTCAGAATGTAGCAATGGTAGATAAATATATAAGAAAATGATGCAACATGATTAAGTCCTGTAAAAGCAACATTGATCAGAACTGGATCATTGAGCAGAACTGGATCAATGCCACGGGAGCCCAGAGGGGAGGATGCCTAACTCTGCTTGGGGAGATTCAGGAGGATGACATGCCAGGAGGTCTTAAAGGATGATAAGATGTTGCTGGCAGTGGAAGGCATTTCAGGAACAGTATGAACAATTCAAGCATGAGGGAAA